GTTTTCGATGGACTACCCTGTACTATAAAAAAACCTGACCTTTACTCAAGAGTAAAGTACCTTTATATTTGACAATATCGAAAATTGTTAAAACGAAAAGTTGATCACAACTAAACACTACGTTCAAATTACATCCATTCACATTGAAAAATTAGGTTGTGTTATGTTTTACTAATCTTTCTATTTTGAATGGACATTTATCTCTTGTGATTATGAAACATATGATATCCTTTTCGTTTCTAAATGTTTTCTAACAATTTTGCAATTTAAAGCCGTAATTAATGAATGTGCATTTATTTTGCAAATAAGAAAATACAAATAAATAGTAAGTTGTGTAACTAACATAATATTAATACTAGAAATAAATAGAAATTTATTTTTCACTAATTCCACTAATGCCTCGACATATCCACCCTCTCGTTCAATACGTTTAATCGTTCTATTGGCAAATTCACGTAATACATTCCTTATCATTTGTGAAGACATTTCCTGGCATGTTTCTAAAATTATCCCCTCCGAATGGTTAACATCTTGAAACGGACCTTTCTGGTAAACTTTTTGTTTCAAGTAACCCCATAAGAAGTAATCAAAGGGGGTTAAGTTAGGGGATCTAGCAGGCCAAAAAAGATCAGAATATCTGTGAATAACTTTTCCATGGAACATATGTTCAATATATTCCCTAACATTCAATGTACTGTGGCATGTCGCACCGTCTTGTTGGAACCAAATACATTGACGTTCTTGTAAGGGTGATTAAAAAAAAGGTCCTATTAATCTGTTCTTATAAATGCCACACCACACGTTCGTCTTAAATGAATATTGGTCGTGAGACTTTATTGCATTATTATATCTGACAGTGATGAAGCAGAGTCCTGGGCACAACCACAAGCAACAATTGTACCAAATGAATTTTTGGCTTCTATCTACTCGTTTTTGGCGGAAACTAAAACTACCTTATCTTAACTACCTTATCTTACCAATACTATATGAATCACCATCACTGACAAAAATATAAGGAGAAATGAAGAAAATTTGAAAAAAATGCGAAAGGGAAATGAAGGTATTAGGGTTTAGTATGCTGTGATTTTTAGTAAAATGGCTATTAACAGTAAGTTTATTGGCAAAATTAGAAAAAAATATTTTACGATTTCAGATGGCATCGAAGGGAGAATTTTAGATCTACTGGAAAAACCCATTTTAGTTAGCACCCCCACAGAACCACCATCTGTAAGTACCTCCCCAGCAATGATGTTGGTATCATCATTGCTGGAGAAAGTTCCTTTAAAAGTAAAAATGGAACTGGAAAGAGACATAATTAGTCATGTCTATGATGTCATAAAGAAACACTGCCAGTGATTTAAAGGAAAATCTTAATGTTATAGATGTATCATAATGTTATATATAGACATATTAGTTCTATTTATAGTAAATAAATAAAGAAGTTTTTCATTTATATTTACAAATTTATTGTCTTTACAATAATTTACAGTAAAGCAAATGTGAAGTTGTCCATTAAACCAAATTCAAATAAAACCATTCATGTATTTTAGATGATCGAAATACACGGTTACTTGGAGATTCTGGATATCCCCAAGAACCACAGTTAATGACGCCTATTTTAAATGCTCAAGATAGATACCCAGAACAAACTTTCTGAAACTGTGTAGAGAGGTGTAACGGAATGTTTAAGGGTAGATTCAGATGGATAATGAGGGAAAGAAATTTACGGTACAAACCTGAAGTTGTAACAAAAATAATAATTAATTGTTGCGCTGTTACACATTATGTGTGTTGCAGATCGAATGATACGTGACGTTGATTTGCCTCGCCCTGTAGAAGAATATTACAACATACAAGTAGAGGAACATGGAAGGGTTAACAACGAGGGAGTTATAGCTCGTAGGCATTTAATTAGAAATTATTTTAATACATTCTTGCAAATAAATGCTTTAAAACAAAGGAATTTCTAATAATTTATATGTTAAAATACATTTTTCTCAGTTTTTCTTATTGTTTTCATATTACACATTTAAAATTACCACATTTCAGTCATGTCACATTATCAGGAACCAAACAATTTCAAATCACAACTAAAACAAATATGTGACTCCCATAAGGAGACCATAAATTTAAAAAGAAATATGAAAGAAAATAAATAATTAAAAGCATAACTTTTATATAAAATATTAATTACAAAAAATATTCACAAAGAAATATAATATGCATGTTCTTAAAATCCCAACTCTTAGGTCCATATTGGTTTTCTATATAAGTACATACATATTTAATAAAACTCAATACAACAAAACAAACGCTAACAAAAGACAAAATTAAAGTTTTCTGAAATTGTATGTATATTGTCATATTTTCTATATTCTTATCGATGTTCTTTCACATCAAGTGTGCTGTTATTCATGTCCTCTATTGTTTCTTGTAATGCTCTTTGCTTATTTTTGTGCTATGGTGTTGTTTTGGGTGATTGTTTATTTGCAATTTCTGTAAAAGTGGTCCCAATGTTATCTCTATTTTCTATAACACTTGATGGCAAATCGGATACTTCCTAAAGTCGTGTAAGAGCAGGATCAGTAGACGGATCCAGGGCGATCATATAAATATATCGTCTAACCGGGTCGTCGCCGGCGTCATCAACCCCACCGGTAGGTGGGGGGGGGGGGATGCGGGAATCCATCCGAGGAGGAGGACGATGAAGACGAAGAGGGCGATGGAGGCGTAGCCGGTGGAACGGGTGCCAACTCCAGCGCCACTTGAGTCACTCCCCAATCAGAAGGACGCATAAGGGGAGAGTCAAATGAAATTGTGCAGTTGTTAGAATTGTCTGTATCGGGGTTGTCATGATCAGGGCTGTCAAAAAAAAGAACAACAGAAAAACCGCCCCTTGAAGAAAAAGAACAAGGGGCCGGGAAAAGGGCCGAAACCTGATGGATGTCGAGGGCTCACAACCCTCGAACCGCAGTGGGGATCCCGTAGGATGATCTCCAGCCTCCTTCTGCTCCAGCTCGAGCTTAGCCCTCAAGGCGATGTATCCTCGACGCTTCCTGAGATTTCGGATGGTCTCGAGAGGGAGCCCGAACTTTCGCGCCAAGAATCTGTTGATGGGAGATGCACCATTATGTAGGATTTCGACCTGCGCGATGTGCATCGTTTGGAGTTCGAAAAATCGCTCGGACTTACGATTATCCGCTGCCTCCAGCTCGGATTGATATTCTTCCGGGTGGGCCTTTCTCCTGTGTTGCTGAAGGCCAGCAAAGGTTTCAAAATCGCGCAAGCAGGAGACGCACGAATTACTGACCTCAGGTCTGCAATAGCGCCTCCGATGTTGCTGGAGACTATTTCATGACGGGAAGTCTTTATTACATCCCGGACATAGATGTAAAGCGTCCACGGGAGGCTGAGGGGTTGTAGGCGGAGAATCCGCGACGTTGTCGGCTGCCGACAGTAACGCATCTAATGTAGCAAGAGGCCTTTCTGGGTTGCAAAGGTCCTGCCGCAATTCGGGCACAGAAGGTCAATCGCAGGACCATCCATATCGCACAATGCAAGGTCGTCGTAATGCCGGTCGGAAGAGGTCCCGGTAACTTTCGCGAACTCGCAAACACTCGTGGGAACGCCGACAAGGCTGAGAAAAAACCGCGAACGGCAAGAAACTCTTGTTGAGATAAAGTCAGGAGAGCATAGGCGGCGGGTAGGCCGGTGATCCGAAGAGAGGAGTGATCGTTACAGTGGTGGGTGAATAAAACCAGGTTCCCAGACAGGTGCCAACGGCTAAACAGCCAGAACATCTATTCAAATCGCCGGTGTTCACTCACACGCGAACCGCTAATGGCTTAAACCACTGCCATGAAAACTTACTCGGTATCGATACTAGGTACGACGAGTTAGACGAGTGGCAGTGTAAACTTCTATTCGCAAAAATTCGAATGTCAAGAATGGCAAATGAGAAAATAAAAATATATATATCCGACCAATCGTGCACAAGTAAGGTCACTCACGGCAGCGAGACAAGAGAAAAACTATTGTACCATGAGCTGGAGACCGAAGTAGGGCAAATATAAACCTAAATGACGTAAACCATCGCCCCCGACTCAGAGAAACTCTAAATCGGCAAGCGGCGACGTCAAAAAGGATATCAATATATAGTATATGGCATTCCGCGTTAAAAGGAACCATGCCGAATGGACATACGCATCCGGGAATTTATTGATTCCTTTTAAATTAAATGCGAATAGCTGGTAGGGATAAAAACGAGCGCTGGAATTTCCTTATCGCCCCAAGATTAGCCGGAATGAACAAAATAAAATGCTTGAAGAGCCTACAATTTACCATCTTGACATTATTTACCGCGTTATCAAACTATTTACTTACATGAATCAGAAATGAAAATTAAATGGAAAACATCACAGACACTAACACCACTCCACATGCCACCAGCCGTCCCTCAACCGCACTTTAGCTAACAAAGCATCCTGATTTTAGAGGATCGTACACGAAATGATGCTACCAGTTCAACGATCAACAAGAGAGAACTTCACCTAATTTTATATGGTAACTGTATACAGTAATACCAATTTTCATTTCCGCTCTGGCCCCGATTTATTTTTAAAATCCCGCGGCAACACATATAGGCAACCAAGATTACAAATCGACGTTAAGTCAATAGTATATCCTAAGACTATGAATTATTATTTGACAACTATCTTAACCTAAAAATGTAACTAGCAATTTTACGGCCGATTTCATAATAAATTTAAAGTTAACTTTAACTTTAAAGTTGACTTTCACGACAACAGTCAGTTTCATAAGGAAATTTTAAATTCTAAAGTCGACAAAAGTGGCTTTAAAAATAAAGATCTCCGAGCGGGCCTTTAACGTCATTAAAGCCAGCTTTAGTTAAAAATTAACCTATATGTTTGTCATAATTTAATTTCAACGTGTGATTCGATTTCAATTTCTTCAGTATTTTTAAGTTGTACAAAATTAAAATGAATCTTTTTGAAAAGTCTTCTTCAAGTTCTTCAGATGAAGAGGAATTTATAGTTATTAGAAGACCTAAATTATACAGAAAAAGAGTGGACTGTTTTGAAAAATATGACGATTTAAATTTCTTCCAAAGATTTCGCCTACGAAAAACAACTGTATTAAGTTTGTTGCAAGAAATTGAAGATGTGATAAAATTACCAACACAAAGGTAAAATTTATTTTGACTATATAGACAGGATACACATTAAAATGAATTTATTTTTTAGAGGTGGATGTATTACACCTATGCAGCAGCTCTTATTAACTTTAAGATTTTATGCATCAGGTAATATGCAAATTGCTGTGGCTGATTTTCTTGGTGTATCAACATCTTCTGCATGCCGTATTATAAAAAGGGTGTCAAGAGCATTAGCATCTTTAAGAGCACAATATATTAAAATGTATAGTGATAATAGGGAAATGGAAAGATCTGCCGAGAAGTTTTATCAGATAGCATCGTTCCCTAGAATCATAGGTGCTATAGATTGCACGTTAATCAAAATAGATTCTCCTGGTGGAATCGATGCAGAAATTTTTAGATCAAGAAAATCATATTTTGCTCTAAATGTACAGACTGTGAGCGATGCAAGTTTGAAAATTAGAGACATTGTTGCAAGGTGGCCAGGATCTGTTCATGACCAAACTATTTTTAATAACAGCAATTTACGAGACAGATTTGAGAATGGAGAGTTCGGTCGATATATTTTAATAGGTGACAGTGGTTATAGTTTACGGTCTTATCTTATGACGAAGTTGCTCCAAACAAGAACACCAGCTGAAAATCTGTACAATGAGTCCATCATTAGAACTAGGAATGTTGTTGAGAGGCAGTACGGAGTATGGAAACGTCGTTTTCCTATATTAAGATATGGAATGAGATTAAAACTTGATACGACAATGGCTGTTATAGTGGCAACAGCAGTATTGCACAATATAGCTATAGATATGAATGATTTGCTTCCCGAAGATTTATTATATAATGAAGAAATGGACAATAATGAAGATATCTTACAACCTGTTGAAAATAATTTACATATGGGTCATAATATTAGACAACTGTTAATCAATGAACATTTTGCTTCTTTGTAAATAAATATTTATTGTTTTTTAAAAATCTCTTTTTGCTTTTCTATTTCATTTTGTTTTAATTCTATATTTAATTTCAACATCAACATTTTTGCTTGATGCTCCTCGTTTTCTCTTTTCATTCTCTTTTCCCGATCTACATCTTCCTTTTCAAATGACTGTTCCAATAGCTCAAGTTTTCTTTTGTAATATTGCTCCTTAGCAGAAAATATTGCATTGGGAACTACTGGCCGAAGCATAGAATTTTTCTTACATTTTAGGTTAGACGGAACATATTTGCTCCAATTAGACCCCTGTTGTCTAAAATTTGGAGATGGACCAGTTCCTTTTCTGATTGACTGCCATAAAAATTGAGTTAGTATAAACCTATAACTTTTTGTTTATTTACATTTCAAGAAATACTTACATGTGTTTTACCACTAACTGGAGTACTACATGAAGCCGTAATATTTTCCGTTTCATTGGATATGCCATAGTTATGTTCTAAAGGAATGACTGTATCCTACAAAAATAAAATACAACAAAACATTTAATAACTATCTAACAATTTCAAAACTTACGATAACATTAGAGTTTTGAAATCCAACATCACAATGATTTATTATTTCAACGTCCTCAAATCCCTAAAATACAAAATGATAAAATAAGGCATTCTTAATATTAATGATTTATGTTTATAGAAACATTAGAATATTCGACTGTAGCACACTGCTGGATTCCTTCAGATTCCTAAAAAAATCAATATATTTTAATTGTAATATATAATCCTTTTTTAAAAATTATATTATGACTTACGGAAATATTTAAAAACCTGTCATCATTTCCTTCGCATATCTGAATTTCTTCCATTATCACATTTTCAGCCAAAACATTCTAAAAGAATATATCTAATTACTATCAGATAATATGTGGTTAGTATGAAAAAAAATTATTTCATATATCTAATATAGCCTTACATTAACACTAGTAACACTACTATCGCTATCAAATGGACTACTGAATCCCACCACCGTTTTTAAATTAATTATTTCAAGAACGGCCTGTATTACAGCATCTAACTCGTCTTTGACTGAAGGACCACCACCTGTACCTCTTAAATATGTTTTATATTTGGCACACTCTTTCCTGGCTTTTGTTTTGAGATTATCATATTTCGATTTTATTTGAGTTAATGACCTAACCTCTATATTTTGAGCATTGAAGCTTTTTAGTATTTTCTGCCAGGCCTCCTCCTGAAAATAAAAATGATATTTAATATTAACATTTTACCTACATACACACAAAAATTTACTTTTTCATTAACACTTATTTTGTTTGTTGTTTTACATTCAATAATATTTTTGAATTTTCCTATTTCATGAACTAATAGTAATTCCTCTTCTTTATTAAAATTTGATGAACGGATACGTTTGTCTTTATTCATTTCACTAGTTCTAATATATCATATATTATTATTGTTATTATTACAATAGAAATCGAGATTTGTTTCCCTCCAAATGTTCCAACTATTTTACACAGATAAAAACTTTTAAATTAAAATATTCCTATATTCAGTTTTGCCAACAAAGCTTATTCAGTCTAAAGTAGACTTTAGTTAAAAATTATTTAAAGTTGGTTATGAAATCGAATGACTTTACACTGCCAGTTAAAATGCACTTTAACCTAAAGGAGACTTTACCTAAAGGAGCTTCATCTCATCAATTATGAAACCGGCCGTTAGTGTTATCGGCAATAGGGTGTTGGCTGTAATTGGTATAGGGGCAACGGGGATAGTGTCTCCATATGATTCTGATTTTGGTATGCTATTAAATAATTGTTCTATAATAAGAAAAGGTAGTTGTTTTCTTTGATTTCCATTCGTATTATAAATGCAAGTTTAAAAAATTATTAATGTATAGGATTTTTAACAGCTGAAGGAAGCCAACGATACCTCTACCAGTAAAACACCAGCCATTGTTACCAGCTGTAATATAGAAATTGGTACCTCTGAATCAGCTGATAGTTCACTGATCAATAATGGTAACGTCGAAGTAATACAAAGGTAAACGCCAATATCAAATTACTTAATAATTAACTTGCAATTAAAGTATGTAACATATAATATTTACAGCCTAACTCCAACTGGAATTCTTGGAATCCTGCACAACTGGGGCAGCCAAAGAACAAAGTTCTACAGATTCCAAATTCGTCAGCAGCTGCAGGTTTACGATTACAACTTTTCATAAAGTAGTTAAAATGAATAATATTTATATAAATTACATATATTGCTGGTCCATCGGGTGCTGTAGAAGATATGGATGTGATAAATAATACACCCACAAAATTACATACACCCAGTAACATACTGTATTAATTTAAAATATTGTAAAAAATTATTATAGCTTACTTTTTTCAGAAATCGATATGAAGAGGAAAAGATTTTATAAAGTAGAATCGGCCTTGGCAAAACTGAAAAAGCAACGTTCGGATTCTGTTTATGAAGAAATTGTAAGAAAAAAAAATGAATTTATACATTTCCAAATGGACCTCTTAAAAGAGGAAGCAGAGAGAAAAGAAAAAAGGCTCCAAGAAAAACATTTATTGGAAATCCAAATATTAGAAAAAGAACAAAAAAATAAATAAATTTCTAACTACTTAATGGCTTTTTATTTTTTTATCAAACACATTTGAATTACTAATTAACTATTAATTAATTACTAGTAAGGTAATATCGTCCCAAATATCGATCACTTAAGCATGTACGATAACTTTGAGAAATCGCTAAAATTGCATATTGCAATGTAGTTTCTTATTGCCACATTTCACAGAAAATTTTGACTCAATGGTTTATCAGGTAAAGAAAACCCCCGTGAACAATAAGTTGTCGATACATTGTTGATATTAAATTAGTTCAGAACAAATTTGCAAAATGGTTATTTATAATCGAAGTTCGCATCCTATTATTTTCGTGTATAACTGCTTGTTGACCATAAGGTAAAACTATTGGATTATCATCTTCCATCAACTTCATTAGGTGGTTCATCTTCACGTTCCTCAATTGCAATATTGTGCGGTTGCCAAAATAATTGCCATTGAATGTTCCAGAGACACACGCATACCCATGGACAGAATAGGAAAGCGGCGTTTCCACACATCATATGATCTTTCTACAGTTTCTTGTACGAATATGTTCCTCGTTAAAAAGAATTTCGGCTGGTGTATTTGGGTTATCCATAGGAGTAATTAAAAAGTTTATATTGCCGTATCCACTATCCCCCAAAATTACGGAAGTTCCAAAACCATTATTTTGTAACCTTCCTCTGATTCTACTGTTGTTGAAAATGGTCTGATCATGAGATGATCCAGGCCACCGAGCAATAATATTTGTGATACGTAAACATGCATCACACATAGTTTGTACCTTCCATGAGAAAAATCCTTTCATATTTCTATATCTTTCCCCATCATTTCCACCTAGTGACATGATACGAATATGGGTACAGTCAATAGCACCAATCACATGTGGAAATCTTGCAATGGCATAGAATTCTTCTTTTACTACCTGTCGATCTGCTTCGGTTTCAGGAAACTTTATGTAAACGTAAAGAAGTTATAGCTTGGATTACACGAGTCACAATATAGCATGCAGATGTTTTGCTTACTCCTGCAAAATCACCTGCTGCAATTAACATACTTCCAGTAGCATAGAATCGTAAAGTCAAAAATAATTTTGATGCTGGCGATATTGCATTATTTCGGTCTGTTGTACATTTAATTTGATCCTCAATTGCATTTAATAATTTTTCAGCCGAAACCGTTTGAAAAACTCTAGCTCATCATATTCTTCAAAGTAATTGGGGCTGTAAAAAGAAATGTATCTATGTAGGACTTAATTTTAAACCAAATTTTCATTATCTCACCGATGTTTAAATACTTTTGGATGTCGACGTAATACTAGATTTTCAACAAGTTCATCCTCTTCGTCTGAATCAAATACATTTAAATTGATTGGATCCATTTTAAGGAAACTTTCTACAGCTTTTATAATTACAAGGACTTTAAACAGTAACACTATCTATAAGGTTTGAGGTTATAACGCCATTGAAAATGACAACTTATAAAATTCGACGCGAGATGCATCGACCAATAGAAAGCAAGAATAACTATATACGGTGTATATCCCTTGAAATTCAGAGGGAAAAGATATTCCATAGTTTATACCAACTTTATTCCATGGTTGTAGAACGAAATTTTAGAAAGTTATTCCAAGTATAGCTTATTCTTGGTATGTATACATATACTCGCATTGTAGAACCGGCCCTAAATGTGCCATGCGGCAAGAGCACTTTACACATACCATATGGGGAAAATCTTTTTTTAAATTTGAAAAGAGTGAGTTATTGTCCCCCACCATAACATTCGTGGTATCAGAAGAAAACCCTACCCAATTTGTCATGGGAACAGCTTTAGAAATTAAATTGTCTTTTAATGTAGCATATAATTCAAATGCTGTAGAGTCTTTGGTTTCAACTAGATCAAAAAAACAATTCTTCATTACATTCCGATCTGTCAACGCGACTCCCACTGCGCGTACGCTTTATGGAATTCGCTTTGCGGGATCCCCTTCAGAGATGCCGTCACGGCCCCTTAGACGTCTTCTACGGAGTTGTATCTTTTCCTTGAGGTCCCGTTTGAACCCAAGAAAGAGGAAAAAGTACGGCGGTGCCAGATCTGGACTGTACGGGGGGTGGGGCACCGTGACAACCCTGTGCTTGGCCAGAAACTCCCTCACCAGCAGCGCGGTGTGGCACGGCGCATTGTCGTGGTGAAGCTTCCAAGAATCGGCGATGTCTGGACTCTTGGCACAAACTTGGCGCACACCTTTTACATGGCCAAATCTGCGGTAATAATTTTTTGGACGCTACCGTACGAAATCCCTAACTCATCAACAGTCAGACGAATGTGTGCGCCATTCAAGAGTTCTGGAGCGACTTCACTTTGGCCACATTTTTATCAATCTTTGA